CATATATGCGCACATTCCACTTGGGCATTTATTACCAGAACGTATATTATACCCATGCGTATTTGGCTCTCAGTCAATGAAAAGAGGTGATCGCGAATAGTTTCAGGGTAAAATAACTTAGAAAAAAAAAAAAAAATGGATGGTTATATTTCCGACAGCAGTGAAGAGGTAATTAGATTTAGAAAACGTAGACGTTCTATGGCGATTTCTTCTGATAGTAGTGATAATAATCAGAGTAAGAGTGATTTTGAGTGGGAGGAAAAAAATGATAAACTTAAATTTCATAAATTTACATCTGTTGGTGGTGTAAATGAAAACATCAACAATTTTACTAGACAGAACGTATACCACCTGTTTTTAATAAACGACATTCTTGAACACATTGTGACTGAGACTAATCGATTTGGTGAAGATGATCCAAGTTTCAAAGAAATTTCTGTAGAGGAATTAGGAGTTTATTTTACCCTCATTATTTGATAAAATTTTGGTGATAAGAACGAATTTTTCACTTTTCTGTGTGATGCAAATGGGTTAAACAAGCTCCGTTATTCTATTCATAAAAAAATTAATAGAAATTATTATTATTGCAAAATGAAACAGAAGATGGCGGTGACAATATTTTGTCTTTGATAAGATAGGGAAGAAAGGGTTTACTGGCAACGTGATAGCAAAAGCAACGTTAACGACTATTAATTGCGGACATCCTGGATAGTGGCTATTGTTCAACATACAGACCGGCGCCGTTCTGACGATATCTCGAAAGCACTTTGCACGCACCTTTACCGTTGTCCGAGATATCAACGAGATACTGATAACGTCGCGAGTTTCCACGTTTGCTCGTTTCCTATGTAAGCTTTCACGTGTACCCGACTCTGCATTATCCACGTGTACTAGCACGGTTTCCTATCTCTTTGTTGCACGGACTCGGTGCATAAAGGAAAGCTTACGATTGACACTTTTATCAAATCCTTCCGTAATTCGTTTGGAAAAGTTTATTCTACTGCGACAATACCGTAGTGACGTACAAAAAATATGAAAGGACTCGTTTGAAACAGAAGCGAAAATTTGTTGAAAGCTCAATTGTTCTCCACTCTTGTGTAAAGAAGTGAATTGTTATTTGCTTTTAATCTTAATATTAGCTCAACAACACTCGAAACGAATTATACGTAGATTACGCGTTCTATTTCATGCTCTCAGTTTTTTATTTTATATTCATTTCTACATGCAATAGTTTAGGATTAAATCAGCTAGGGCCAAAAAGGATTTTAGGAAAATGTTCTTTGTGTGATACACGAAGCCAGGCAATTTTGCTTCGAGCTTATTAGATATTCTGGCAGGTATACTTGCACACCTCCAGGTTATCCGACAATACGGCGCCCTACCTCTGAGCCCTGAAAGCACGGAAGATTGTTCCGTACTCTAAATCCCAGGCAAGATCCCCTTTTCACGACGGTGTCCGTGCCTAGCACGGAAAAATCGACTGCGAATATAACTCAGAGAAAAGAAATATATCTACGTATTTATTTGTACCACGGAAGCAATCCTTCTTTTTCAACGAAAATCGATGTTCAATTTATCTCTCGTTCAGGAACAGAACTACAGACCCGATTTCATCATGAATTCATTTTAATTCATTAACCAACCGTGTTAAAAAAAGAATTGAAGAACTTTATCAAACTTGCAAGAGCCCCCATAAATCCATACCCCCTCAATTTACGTTGGAAATTTCCCCGCGAGCTCGTTCTGCTCCCCAATGCAATTTCCCAGAATTGCGAGCGGAGGTGTGTTCGCATTATTTTTACGAGTCATATCGATGATCGCCTAGCGACCATGCGTCTTCGCGGAACTGGGACGTATTTTGGCTGGGAATACGTACTTAGGTATGAATACGATCGCGTTCCCGAAAGCGGAGTGCCATTATGCGACGACAATGCTGTAATCAAGCCCGGGTCTCTTTGGCGAACCGAAAAAAGGATTGCTTCCTCGACTTTGCCAACGGGCTAGTCGCTTTTCCACTCGCGAAAGTCGCCCTCGACGGGTTGTTGAACCTCGAAAAGTACACTTGGAGGATCGTTAATTGCACGAACCACGGGGATCAAGTGCGCCAACCGTTTCCCTGCTTTCTCAACGTTATCTCGATTGACTGAACCAAAATCTATGCACAGTTACTATTTTTTCATGAGATAAATAAAATATTGTTTAACGATTTTAATAAACACGTGCCCTTGCATCTATATTTGATGATTTATATATAACAATCAAGGTTCACGTTGATTATTATTAAATTAGTTCTATGCAAAACGAAGCATTTATGATGTGACATTAAAAAATATTTAAATTCAGACATGCATGCAATTTTTGATATTCAATGTTTCCATACGTGAATCAATAATCATTTCAGCGATTTAAAATAATTTGTTACTAATTTTATTAAAAGTTTTCGATTTTTCAAAGCTTGAATAAATTCGTTCCTCCGTTTTAAGAGATTAAAATTTTCCCTATGAAGGTTTGTAATCATTAAACTATTTCTGATAATACTTATTGATTCTCGCTGTACCTCTCGATTGTTAATCTTTAATTAAAACATATTTCGTAATGATATTTGGCATACGATTGCAATATCCGAATTACATATTCCATATTTATCTTAGATAATAATTGGGAGAATGAAAACGTGAATTCAAGCAACCAATTCTTAAATCAGTTTTACTATATAAGTCATACGAGAGAACAATACGCATTTAACTTCTTGGTATACCTAATTCGCAGGATTTTAGCCCCAACGTATCCATCGCCTTCAGTGGTATACGACGTATACGTGGGACTAAAATGCAATGAATTAAGCGTACGCTGATGTTTGTAATTAGGACATCAGCGGATTTCACGCCTTTATTGCAAAAGCAGACTCATAGTCGTACTCACCCCTCGCGTCGGATGATGGTCGTGTTCGTTGTAGGACCGCAAACCACAGGAACTGCACAGAATAGTCCACCACTTCGCGACAAACACGTGTAGACGCGGAGAACTTTCCGAAATTCTGTCCGCACCGCGCACCGTCCAAGGACAGACTAAGGGAAAATGAAAAATAATTTTCACAACGTAGTATATCCTAATGACCTTCTACGCAGCAGGCACTTATTATGTAAGATTCGTGTAAGACCCACCCAGCAATGTGCGAAATGTAAACATTGGAATTTTCTTAAGCGATATTTGCAAGGACTTCAAATAATACAAAAAATTTTCTGTACATCTTTTTATCTAATATCTGTTGTATTATATTATATTCCATTTATTTATTATATTCCATTTTATTGCTTTCAATTTGATTTTCATTTCCTTGAAAGTTGTAATAGATGTTATCTCATTTGTTTATTTAAATTAATTTCCACTCGCAGCAAACTCTGCCTTCAAAAACAGATAATTTCCATATTATATTTTATAAATATTAAACACATTAAATTGTGCGAACTGTATTGGGAGGTTTACCAATAGTTAAGGGATTGTCACATAATTAATTCCGGGGGAATTAACTTCGCGCCGCGTGCAAATATTAACGAATCGTAAAACGCAAATACGGCAGCTGCGGCACAATTACGGAACCCAGAGTCGAAACTACTGCGATACGGGGGATGGAAACACCATGATGTATGTATTTGCTCGAAGCGTGAGATTTGAATTACGACTCGCCTGCGGAATCCGTATCGGCCGTTTCGAAAGCTATATTTACTGATAACGCAGCGTACTTAAATAAATCGCACAGGCTCCCGTTTATCCTGCACTTCGACTCTAATTTTTATCTCAATGGAATTTAGATGAAGTTTCATTTATTTTAAGAAACAAATAGGAAAAGAAAGAGGTTTTATTTTAATGAGAAGAGAAGACAGAACGACGATAATAATTTATTCAGTATTAGAAGTTAGATTCGAAGATCAGTTAAAGAATAGACAGTATTTTATTACAAGAATATTGCAAGATCAATTCTATACGACGATTCTTTTTTTTCTTATGTTACTGTTTTTATTTTTTCATAACAAAAAATAAAAACAGTAAAAAGAAATTATGTTTGTTTCTTTTTATTATAAAGAATTATTTTAGTAATAATACGAGAGTATGCCGTTATAATCCTGAAAGGCAGAGTCGTAAAGGCTTTTACTACTACCGTGTCATATAATAGTGAAAGCAGTAAAACTGATTAAACATCTTTATATCAGTTTAATAACATTATACGTGGTATATTAAAATATAATTATGATATGGAGTGTATAAATAAATGCTT